CACCTTGGATTCACAGTGATCCTCCTGTTTTCAGCCTCCTCAGCTCTGGGTTTACAGCTGTGCACCACCATGCCATCTTGGTGGCCCCCTCCTTGTGCCCTGGGGTGGAGCCAGTGCAGTATGTGGTGTGGGGGATTGAACCTGGTCCCTGTGCTTGTCTAAGCAGGCATTTAGTCCACTCAGCTATCTCATCTGCCCTGCTAGTTATTGTTGATTATCTTAATTGTGATGACGTGTGAAATTTAGATCTGTGTCTCTAAAATGTTGAAGCAAAACAGTGTTCAATCTTTTCTATTTCAGGGTATTTGGAGCCGCCATACTTCTTACCTCCACCTTGAACATGCTAATCCCATCAGCAGCCAGAGTGCATTATGGGTGTGTCATCTTTGTTAGAATACTACAGGGACTAGTTGAGGTATGGAACTATAGGGGGACATCATTTTAAACTCATGCATTATTAAGAGCCATCAATTTATCTCTGACTTCTACAAATAAACATATGTCTAAGTTGTACCATTTAGTATTAGAGCAAAAAAGGACACATTGGAATTAGTAGGCAATCAGGTATTTGAGAATTGACCCTGCAACCCTATGCATGCCATGCAAGCTCTCTGTGTTGAGTGACTCCTGGTGAACAGTCCTTGGGAGTCTTGCCCCAAGTCCCTGCTGTCTCTTGGTCCCCATGTTTCCATTGAAATATTCCACTGGGCATCATGGTCGGGTGTATGTACTTACTGACTGGCTTCTTCTATTTCCATCATCTTGTGGACTTTGAAAGAATGTCACCTGAAAAATGAGTTTGGGCTAACTATTGTCAGTCACTTTCTTTGGATTACGGTTGAAAGGAATAATCTAATATTTTAGCATACTAAAAACAACCTTCAAAATGAGATAACAAAAATAATAGAAACTAGCATGTTATATTAAATGCCATAAGCTCTAGACTCTACTTCTGGGTTACGTGAGCTCCTAATAGCTCAGTTCCACCTGTTTTTGGAGGAAAACCATGGAATTTAGTGCCTCACAGAAAGATCTTCCAAAGTTTCCAATCTATTAAGAATTTCAGGCAACTTGAATAATGAAGTCTACTCTTTTGCCTTAAACAGAAGAAATGTAAGGTGGAAGACAGACCTGAAGGGTGGGCAGAATTTGAAGAGCTCCCTAAAACAGGCTTTGCCCCATGTGATTTGGACTGTAAGCTTCCATAATGAAATTTCAAGGAGTCATTGAGGTCCCATGAGTAGCAACTGTCTCCAATACCATGTGACCATCCTAGGGAGTGAACCATAGGAAAGGTAGTGGTCTTATTTTCCTTTGACCTTGCATTCTAAAACATGATGTTTATCTTCCCTGGCACAGGGTGTCACCTACCCAGCATGTCATGGGATTTGGAGCAAATGGGCCCCTCCACTGGAGAGAAGTAGACTGGCCACGACCTCCTTCTGTGGTGAGTTTTGGGTGCAGACATGGTTATGATGAATGAAAACTCAGGAAAACTTTGGTAAGGATGGAAACTTTGGTCAGCTCATCTTTATAACTATTGGAATTTGGCATAGGGTAAGTGTTTCAACCACTATTCCAATTTCTTTAGTACTTATAGTATCCTTAACTAATCTACATGTTGTATGTTTTATACTTTTCTAGATGATTCATTGTAACTACATTTCCAAATACATTTATGGAAAGTTTTCATAATTTTTTGAGAATCTCAGTCCTATTTCTTTTCGTTAGACAAAATCAAGTTATATAAAACAATATAAATTGTAGCTCATTTACAAAGGTGGAAATATAAAGAAATAAAGACTAGTGACTTATGTTAACATTCAAACCTGATTTTTCTTTCAAGGGTATTAAATCTAACATTTTAATAGAATTTGTATTTGATACAAAATATAACTCTACTCAGAAAATTGAGGATATCCAAATCATACATAGCCCATTGATAATAACTATTATAACTAAAATTAATATGGTCTTAAACTATTCTGTTTAACATTATTACCATATTTTTCTGTTTATTAAAACATTAATTTCCAGAAATAAAACTGATCTTGCTGCTATTTAGGAAACAAAATAAAAATAGATTTATTAAATTTCAATCTAAAGTTTTGAAGTGTAGAGCCCTCGTTTCAGTTAATATGATACTGAGGTTCACTCATAATTTTTAAATATTTTTAAAACATATTTAAGAAATAATAACAGGGATCTTGGGCCAACCAAATAACTCAGCAGATTAAAGAGCCGATAAGTAGATACATGAGCTGGGGGCTCAATCCCCAGGACTGCTATGCTGGCCCCAACCCCAGGGCGCGCTGAGATGACAATTGAGACTGGGCTGTGGTGGTGCATGCCTGTAATCCCAGCTCTTGGGAGGCTGTAAGCAGGAGGCTCAGTATGAGTCTGATCTAGTAGTGAGACCCTGAACACCATGTAGACCCTTCTCTAAAATAAAAAATTTAATAAAACAAAGAAATGTATTAATATCATTTTTTTGGTGTGTCTACAGAACATTTTCCATTTTTGTACCCAAACTATCAATCAAGAAGACCATTTCTTTCCAAAGCAGACCAAGAGAGAACATAAGCCTATTTTAAAACCCAGGAATTAAAACTATAGCACATAATTTCACCAATAGAAAATTAGGCTGTTTTCCCTTCACATCCAAGCTGGAATGAATGATTAGCAATAGTAAGGCATATAGATATTCAACTAAAATTCACTTGGGCTTAAGTCATACAGCACAAATATAACCTTTTTTTCTTTATATATCTAAGACATCGTTTTCACAGTAGCCTTTAGTAAGTTTTAAAATGAAGTTATACAATTGGGGTAAGGGAAAGGATAAAAGAATCAAATGGAATATATATATTTATATATATATATATACACACACACGGAAACACACACACACACACACACAGGGTAGCAAGGATGGTTGTATCACTAATTTCTCTTTGTTTATTGAAGAGAGAAATTAATACTTAAAATTTTTATTTTGATCCAGTTTACATGCTTGTATCTGGCAACCTGAGTAACTACTTTGAAGGTAACAATGCGCCACATAATAACCATGGTTAAATTCCTATCATCTTGTTTTTTGAAATTCTGTATAGTGTCTGTTGTTTTATCTATTTTTAAATTCGCTTTAAAGTCAATAAAATAATAGAATGAAGTTATAAAATATACACACTTAAACTGTATGGCTCTGCTGTAAGGAGGTACACACTTGACTTCCAAGAATGGCTTTTGATTCTTTCCCTTGCACAGAATCTGTCCAAAGGGCAGGCAAATTGGGATGAGGAAAGGTCCAGGAGAGGGGGAGAGGGGTAAAGATATATTTATGTATGTACGCAGGGTTGCTTGGGTAACTGTACTGCTGATTTCTGCTGGTCTACAGAGTGGAACAGTCCTTGCTTAAATTTTCTTTCTTTTTTTTTTTCTTGTGCTTTTTAATTTCTTATATCTCTGTTCCCCCAATTTTACATGCTTTTCTTGTGTAATCTGAACAAAGAATGTGAAGATGTTATGCAATTCAGCAACTGTTGTTGAGTTCTGAGGGATTTGTTTGGTGAAGCACTGTACCGTCTCAACTGTTTCTTTTTTCTTTCTTTCATTTTTTTTCTTCTATTTGTATTCTCTTTAGATAATGATAATAAAAAAGAATGACACATCAGTGTCTGGCTCGTGTTAAAACAGGGTCCCCAGCCCAGCGCCTGGCCATGCAGGACACGCAGCAGCCAGTATGACTCTTTCATGATTTTAGAGTCTCAGTTCCATCTTGCGTTGATGGCGCGGCTCCCCGCGAGTTGCTCTGCTCCTCTTTTGGGGAGGAAGGACATACGCGCTGGGTAGGGCGTGCGTGTGGGTGTGCGTTTCCGTGCACTAGAGAGTGCGTTTGTGGGAGCACATCCCAAAATACGACATGAAATCAAGATTTTGCTGACTTCACATGCTCTCCTCCCCTCCCCGTGTCCCCTAGGTTCCTACGCTGGAGCTGTAATCGCCATGCCCTTAGCCGGTATTCTTGTGCAGTACACGGGCTGGTCTTCAGTGTTCTACGTCTATGGTGCGTTGCATTTCTTTACATCCGGGTTAAAGGCCATGTGCACACGTTAACAGAGACAGGGTTGCTGACAGTGAAATAGATTGCTGAGTATGTTTCTGGTTTTACTCATTTATTTTCTCATCTTGAGAACCCTTTCCTCGTTTGAAAAGAAAATACTTATGAGGTGGAAAGAGCTAAACAGGAGCCCCCTATCTCTTTTGCTATTCTTTTTGGTCATGTGCTCAGCTCTGCCATCTCAAGAGGGAGTAGGGGTGGACACCAGGAGGACGGTGGCAGAGTGAAAGCTCCGATTCCATTTTGTGACCAGAGGTCCGTTATGAGATGCTACAGCAGCGTGTCTTTCTTGGGCTTTGCCTCTCTCAAATTAAAGTCAGTTAAAGGCTGACTTTGAAATAAAAGATGAAACCCTAAATCTACACATACTGACGAACTGAAATCATAGCACTTCGAGTTCCCCTAAAGTCTTTCTTTCCAAGATTCACTTGGTGGTAAGGAAGAAAGGAGAAACGTTAGAACTGGATTCAAAGCGTTGCTGTCAATGATTGACAGCATTCTGGGATGTGGGCGTGAACGTATAGAATATTAATGAAGTCACGCCATAGAAGAGGGTCTGGCTGTGTGAAAACACACTGCGTGTTCTCAGCCATAAGTGGAAGCTCCAAGGAATTGATACTGTAGCACAGGGTAGTGATTAGCAGAGTTCAGGAAGGGGCAGGAGACAGGCCTAGAGGCAGGGCAGGTAAGGAACTCCCAACTTTACCTTCACTTAGTTCCATTTTGAAATGTTCTCATCAAAACACATACTCCCTCTGCTGAGCTTCGTTAAATCTTACTTCATAATGTGGCTTTTTGGAAACTCGAAGGCTATCGATAGGTTTTGGATTCATGAATGTCCCAAATATTAAACTATATATGTATTTGTATACATTTTTCTAGAGATTTCTTTGAGGTTTTAATGAACACTTTTCAAAGGATCCATAATTCCACAAAGTGAAAAGCACCTACTTGTAAGGGAAATGAAAATTAGTTTATCTATAAGGTCTTCTGATTTGTGTAGTAGTTCACTACTTAATTGAAGTTGGGACATGACCCTAAATACTAAGTATTTTCTCCAAAGCTCGATCATTCTTAAAGGAAAAAAAAGAATATTAATTTGAATAAGGTACTGTTTTAAAATTACTATCAGTGTTTCAAGTTGTATATCATTTAATATTTATCGTTAATTGATACAAAATCAAGATGTAAATATTAGTTCATCTAAAAATATCATAGTACTTGCTTACTGTAACAAAAACAGTTCTTGAGCTATAAATTTGATATTTAAGTTTTAAAAACTAATGAGATAGAGCTTGTATAGTAGTATAAACTGAAAATTATACACACAAAGCAATTAGCAGAAGGCATGGATCTTTAGATAAATTTAGTTAATGGTAATGATTACAACTGAATTACCAGAGCTCTTGTTTACTAGATGCTTAATTTATGCCATTTAGTGTGCTGGTTTATTTATAGATTATCTCTTTTAATGTTTCTTGGTGATGTATTATTCCATTTTATCATGAAGGCTTAGAGATTGTGATACTGATTGGATCATAGAGCTCAGGAGAGAAAGCTAGAATGTAAAGGTGGGAAGATGCTGTTCTATAGCCACTACATTATGCCACATTTTTATACACTGGGTCTAACGCATGTGTGCTGGCAAGTTCAGTAAAGAAAAGCAGTGCAGGACAACAGTGCTGTGCCATGTATGGTATTAGGAGCATTTCTTGTAGACTCAGTATGCAAGAAAATAAAATATAAGAGAGCCTGAGGCATGTAGGTTGTTACCCCAGGAACAAAAAGAACAGTTGAACAACTGAAATGGCCTACTGCTAGGAAAACAGAATGAGTCCAGTGAAATTGTTTTTTATAGTCATGGCGTGGGCCTAGATGGGTCCTTTGGCCTCACGTGGTCATGGAGGGTTTCTTCTCATAGATGACTGAATCTAAAGCATGTAATTGCTTAAAAGTGCAATGTTGGAGTTAAGGGTGGTAGGATTAAGGCGGGGGATTGCTGAATCAGCACACCGATTGGATTGGCAGAGCCCTCACCCCAGTCGACTGCATAAAATGTAAGGGGCGGCAAGAGGCATGGCGGCCTTCCTCTCCTTGTTTCTTTGGCTGTCTTCTGCCGTTAGGAACAGTTGCTCCCCTGCCATGCCACTCTGCCCTGAAGGCAGACAATTACAGACTGAAATGTCCACAAACTGTGAGCTAAACAAACCTTTCCTCTTTATAACTTTGGTCATTGGGTATTCTGTCTCAGCAATGAAAGAAAATAACTAAGATATTTGTATTAATATTCATTGGTTTATGTTGTCCAATAAGCATGTTTTAACACAGTGCTCAATAAAGAGGAGTATGAACAGACCTTGCATACAGTTTGTGGCTGTGGAATCTAACTTTTGCCTGCCCAAAGACTGTTCAATAGGCAATCATATATGCAGAACAGTATATAGTATGCAGATATATATAGTACAAAATGTTACAACAATTATTACAGATGCTCCTTTTTCACATAATACACTGGTTTAGGGTAAGATAATCTGTATTTTATTTGGTATTCTATTTATTAGGTTAGAAGTGGTAAGACAAAATGGAATGAACGTTATTTTCCTTTGGATATGACGATATTTTAATATATTCAAGGCAAAATCCTAAAAGATTCTTTTGAGGACAAGACTTTGCTTGTTTATTATATTTATCCCACTGAGCCAAGCACCTAGAATAGGAACTGGCCAGTGATGTTTGGACCTATGAAAATCTTCCTAAATCTTCAATAGTTAGTGATTGTGAGTTTCATATGTATCAGTGTTGTTCAGAGGAGACAGATAACACTCCAGGACCAGCCTTTAGGTAGCTCTACATCTTGTGGTAAAGGAGAAGAAAAAAAAAAAAAAAGACCAAAGTCAATTGCACAAACATAATATCAAGTTCTCTTTCATGCAGACTGTGTTTGTTGTGAGGTTTTCTCTCAGCATGTAACTCATAAGTGGAAATATTTGACAGCTTATGTTCACTTCCTCTTTTGCACCATTTCTTATAGGAAGTTTCGGGATGGTCTGGTACATGTTTTGGCTTTTGGTGTCTTACGAGAGCCCTGCAAAACACCCTACTATTACAGATGAAGAACGTAGGTACATAGAAGAAAGCATTGGAGAGAGTGCAAATCTATTAGGTGCAATGGAAGTAAGAACTTTATTATGGTGTATATTTCTCTTATTTCCCATTTCATGTTCCTTGATGCGCCAAGCTATTTGATAAGTCCTATTGTATTAAAACTAATTTGTATCAATCATGTTTTTCTTTTTTGTCTGTCCATATTCCCTCACTCACTTATGAATGATCACTACTTCCTTCATCTGTAATTTTTTCCTCTGTCTTTTCCAAAGCATCCTAAAATCTGTCTTTGATTTTTAAGTATGACTACAAAACTAATCATGTATTAAAAAACAGCTCTATATGGTACATAGTTTAAGCAAGTTGAACCAATATGTTAATTTTAAATAATAGGAAATCTCCAATAGGTAATGAAAATGTCTACTTTTGTTTAATATATATTCTAACTTTGGCCTTGTTGTATGTGATTCAGGAGATATTGAAGTATTATAAGGCCATGGGTAACATTTTCATTTTTTAATGAATGAAATAGTATCATCTTTAAAATTTGGCAGATGGGAAAGAAATGTACAAATGAGAAGGGGAACTAGGTAAGAGGAAGGGGAAAAGAAGAAAGGGACAAGGAAAGAAGAGACTAGAAAGAAAAAATGAAAATAAAGCTTTTTCAAATAATGAGGATAAGAAGGGATGAAGAGAGAGGAAGGGAATGGGGAAAGAAGAAAGAGCAAGATGTGTCTTGTACAGGTACAAATTTCCTCTGAGGAATGTTATCACTCAGTGTATCTAAAATATACCGATACGAAAGTGTAAAACATTATTATGAATATCATGGCTTCTAATGATAATATTGGGAAGTGCTTTTCTTTGGATTTGGTTTCTTAAAGAGGATTTGCCTACAGAGAGGAGCAACATAGGTCTACTTCAGTAATGCAAATATTTTACTCCATGTGTCATTAATATGCCATATATAAGAATTAATAGTAATTTAATATTATTTTAAAAAACTCATTGGCAAAAGCAGGGTTATGTGGTCTCTTAACTGTACTTCCATATACCAAGAGTTGGAAAGTAGAACTCACTGGTTGAGGTGCCAAAGCCCTCTATACTTCATACTTTTTAAAAATGCTCCCTTTCCCATTCCCAGTGTGTTTTATTTCAGTTCTGATTTTCTAATTCATGTGTTAGCAAATGCTTGCCTTTTGCATATTATCTGGACAGGAAAATTTGCCATTCGTATTTATTGAGCAGAGTTTGACTTGTAATGAACAAGAAATGTACCCTATTGGGAATCATTTGGAAGTGAAGTCTATATTTCTAAAAATTTCTTGTACAGTATTTGTTGCATGGACTAGATAGATTGGAATAAACTTTCCACTCCTGTTTCCTTTTGCACCTGGTTGATGATGTCTTCCTGATGATAACTAACCAAGTAGCCAGTGAGGATGCGAAGGTAGGGGTAGGACTGGTAGCGTGAGGTCTAGTGCCCGCCACCTGAAGTTGCTGTGAGCAGAAGCTAAGCACATGCTCTTCTAGGACTGGTCTCAAATCTGCCTTTATTTCTACAGACCCAACTCCCAAAGGAAATTTGGATGAGCCTTTGTCCTCTGTAGCATGTGATTTTTCTTTATTTCTCAGTTCTTGAGAGATCACATGTGTAGATTAAGCATAGAGTTCATAAAAATCAAAACTTTATTCTATGACACCAAGTTCCCAGAAATAAACCCCCAAAGAATAGAAAGTAGGTTGATAAAGCAGCATGAAATCTAACTCCTCATTTTCTATACCTATGATTTTTAACAAGTACAGTACAGTCCTCCTGCTATTTCATATGATCTCTTAGCTTCACAGTCAACCCAAGCTCGGGCTTGGCTTCAACAGCCATGCAGGTGGTGGGGTCCACAACAGGTGCCTGTGTTTCCCAGTCAGGACACAGAAATCTGAAAAAGTGAGGGGATCTTACTAGGAACATCTTTATTGCATATCTAGGTGGAAAATTTGTGACATTTTGTCATTTATTTTATTTTGTTTGCTGAAGTCTTTCACAGTAAAACACTTTACTCATACATAATTCTTGTGCTTAGAAAAATAATATCTCATTTGCAATCTCAGTAGTCTAAAAGATCTTACACAAGGGCTATCCAGATAGCTCAGCAGATTAAAGCACATGCAAGCAGGTGCAGGGCCTGGGGGTTGATCCCTGAGATGGCAATTGAGACTAGGCATGGTGGTGCCTGTTATCCCAGCTCTTGGGAGGCTGTTAACAGGTAGATCACTATGAGTCTGATCTAGTAGTGAGACCCTGAACATCTTGCAGATCTTTCCCTAAAAATACAAAAAAAAAAAAAAAAAAAAA